TCCGAATCCCAAAAACATCCCGCTCGTCCCGCCGGCATGGCCCCCAGATAGCGGCCCGGCCTCACCGACCGCCCGCAGGTAACCGGGGAGCGCGGCCGGGCCTGGCGCGGGAGGGGGGGCGGGCGGTCGGTGGCGCGGCGGCCGCAGGGTCCCCTCAGGGCCGGGGCCCTCCCGCCCCTCATCCCCGTTCGTGCCCCGCGGCCCCGGGGCCGCGCTCGCCCCGCGGGGGATCCCATTGCGCGCTGCACACACGGCGCGGGTGTCCCCCTCCCGCGGGGCCGGCTCGCCCCCGCGCCGCTCCGCGGGGTTCCCGCGGCCAGCCTGTCCCCCCCGCCGGGCTGTCCCCTGTGCCGGTGTCTGGGGGTGTCCCCTCCCGCCGGGCTGTCCCCTGTGCCGGTGTCTGGGGGTGTCCCCTCCCGCCGGGCTGTCCCCTGTGCCGGTGTCTGGGGGTGTCCCCTCCCGCCGGGCTGTCCCCTGTGCCGGTGTTTGTTCGGGGGTGTCGCCTTCCTCCGTGGGTGTTCTCTGCCCCCCCGTGCAAGTGTTTGCCCCTCCGGGGCTATGCCGTGCCCTTGCGCCGCTATTTCTGGGTGTCCCCTGACCCCTGTCCCACTGTCTGGGGGCGTCACTCCCCTCCGGGGATGTTCCCTGTGTCTGTGTTTGGGGGTGTCCCCTGCCCCCTGTCTGGGTGTCACCGCTCCGTAAGTGTCCCCTGCCCCGAGGGGTGGCTGCCCGTGCCCGTGGGTGCACCAAGCCTGCACTTCCAGGGGGTGTGAGGGGCAGTTGTGTCGTTTCCTGCATCCCAACGGGATACCTGCTGCCCCCGCTGCAGCTGATGGGAGGAAATAGAGGGATTCCCACGAGCCGTTGGGCAGAGCCTGCTGTTCCCGTGTTGTTGTTGTTTGTTTGTTTTCCTACAACAGCCCCTTCTGCACATTCCTTAGTGCCCATCTGCCGGGTCTGCTGTGCTGCCCCTGTGACCACGCACCTGCCCAGACCTGCTCCGTGTTTTTCTGCTCTTCTTCCACCTGACCAGAGTTCTATTGCTATAGAGACATAAACGTTGGCAGATTTGGGAGGGCATCATCTGCTTCTTGCTTGCCCAGAGCCTGTTGCCCCTCTTTCCTCCCAAAATCCGCTATCCCTGTTTCCATGTAAAGGTGAAATCAACTCCATGCTTGACCTGTTAAATCCTCTACTCCAGGAGGCTCTTTCTTGCCTACAGAAAGCTGATGAGCTTTCCCCCACCCAAGCAGACGTATCCTCCCCCAGAGCCCAAGGGGTGGCTCCTCCAGTCCGTCTGTGGAGCCCGTTCTGCCCACTGGTGAAGGATGTGTGTCTCCTCCTACACACACACACACACACCGGGGTTATCCCACTGATTTCCTGCCAAGAGCTGGTGCATCCCATGCTGTGTGTGTCTGTGCACCTCAGGAAGGTGCAGCTGGTGTTTCAGCAGCAGCCTTTGGGACAGGCAGGCATTTCTCCTGGGTGCTCCCAGGGATGAGGTTCCCGCTTTGTCCTTCCATGCCTCAGATGTTCCCGGAGACGCCCTGTGGCAGCTGTTCCAGGTCCTGCCCCCAGCTCTTCCCTGTTGCTTGTGCCAGGGAGGTCAGCCCTGTACCCACTGCTTGTCTCTTCCTGGCTGCTTTTCCACCTTTCATGGCTGAGATTTCCACTCTGTTGATCCTGCACTGTGATAGTCTCAGGTTAAGCCTACCTTGGTTCTCACTTTGGCCTCGAGGTTTCTTTGCTGAACAGTCCACCAGAGTAAAATCAGGTAGCCTTTGTAGTGCCTGGGTATCTGCAGATCCCACACTTTCTGTTTTTCTGGTCGTATACATCATTTGTCTATTCCAGGATCTTTTCTGAGACCTCCAAGCCCTTCCAGTGCCTAAAGGAGGCACTCCAGGCACTCCAGCTCCAAGAGAGCTGGAGAGGGACTTTGGACAAGGCCATGGAGTGACAGTTCAAGGGGGAATGGTTTCCCACTGCCAGAGGTCACGGTTAGATGGGATATTGGGAAGGAATTGTTCCCTGGAAGGGTGGGCAGGCCCTGGCACAGGTTGCCCAGAGAAGCTGAGGCTGCCCCTGAATCCCTGGAAGTGTCCAAGGCCAGGTTGGACGGGGCTTGGAGCACCCTGGGCTGGTGGAAGGTGTCCCTGCCCATGGCAGGGGAGTTGGACAAGATAATCTCTAAGGTCCCTTCCAACCCAGGTGTGGGATGTTTCTAGAAGTCTCCTGCTCTCATAGTTTTCCTCAGCTGAGGCCCTTGCTTTGCTGGATCCACACGCAGAGTTTCTCGGGTTTCCTGGTTATGTGTTTGCCCCTGCTCTTCTCCCGTGCTTTTGCTTGGCACGAGGCTTTTCCTTTCCCCTTTTAACATCTTTATTTTATTTTCCCTGGGGTGTATCCCCCTGGTATGCACCTGGCAGCTCTTCCTGAGGTGCAGGTCTCCCAGTTCCCCTCCCAGAGCTGATCACTGGCTCCCAGCTGGGTGTTCCCGCAGACGAGGTGATGTGTTGTTTGTGCTGCAAGGTGATGCTGAGTGGGCATGACTCCTGTGCAGGCAGAGCAGCATCCAGGAGTCTTTTGGGTGTTTTGAGTGCAATGTGTTTCTCTTCTGCCATGGAGGTCTCTTTACTTGACATCTCCACGTGACTCAAATCTGAGTTGTGATGCACCCAGGGACCTTGCCTGGGTTTGAGTACAGCTATTTCAGGAGGTGGAGCTGAACCTGAGAGCTCAGACACGGCTCTCCCAGTGTAAATACAGCCATTGATGTATCAAACTGTTTATTCCAGAAACCAGTTACAATGCTCTAAGTGTCTCTCCCTCGAGACTACTTGTATTTAAACAGCTGGTTTTAATCCGAAGCTTTAATTGGTGCAAACACTCCAGGCAGTCCCTTTCCAGGGGGAGGGAATTTCCAACCCTACTTTATTCTCCCCAGGTGGGCGTTGCAGGGATGCTGACTGGCCAGGAGGGGAGGAGGACACTGGATTTGTTTACAGGGTGAGAGGATTCCCGTTCCTGTGAGTGAGGTTTGGAGGGGGGACAGTGTCCTTATGTATTCCTTGCTCAGGGCGTAAGAGGAGTAGCGAGCGAGGGAAACTGAATCCTTGCCATGTTTGTTGCAACAGGAGCTTAATCATAAACTCTGGCACTTCCCAAAGGGGTGGTTTCATTCTGTGGTGTCTGGAGGGAATTGTGCTGTTCAGAGGGTCTGGTCAGCTGTTTGCCAAGAGGATCAAAAGCAAATGCAGCTTCCCCCTGTCTGAGGTTGAACAAGCACCCAAACATTGGTTTTGGTTGTATCCCATGACTCGCTGGAAGTGTTTTTAAGTCCTTGTGAATGAGTGTGTGGTGCTTGTGCTGTGTGAGGTGTTTGTGTGACCCAGGACCAAGCCGTGGGCCCTTCACACTTGTGTGGGTTATTTCACAACTTATTTCACCGGCCTTGGCCATTGCATCTGCTAAACTTCTTTTTTCAGTGGGCTCAGAGAATGTCTGAGTGTGTGGGAGAACATCTGGTGATATATGTAGCTTCACTCCTTTCAGCATTATAATCCAGTAGTTTAAACGACAAGAAAGTCAAACTGTGACAGAGCAGTGATGCTTCTGCTGGCACGTGACAAGGAAGGAGATGTCCCCTGACGTAGAAGGGGTTGTCTGTTGACATTTTTCTCCCTCTCCCGGTTATAAGTAGGTTATCCCTGCTCAAATTATGCAACCGTGCAGACAGCCAGACTTCAGGAATTCCAAATGCTTCAATGTGTCAAGTGCTGCCTTCTAAATGAAATGCCACGGTTGCAGAGCCTGTTCACAGTCTGTCACTTCAAATACAACATCGGGCTTGGAACCGCGTGTGGCTGGGAAGGGGCAGCAGCTTAATTGCTCCTTCCCTCGGGGAAGTGGTGTGTGAGATTGCAGGGTGGGAGAGGTGCCTCTACCTGTGACAGCGTTTCCACGTGGAAGCCAGGAGTTATATGCAGAAAAAAAACACCATCCTAAGAGCATCGATTTCTGCAACAAATTGAAACTCCTCGCTCTTTGTGCCGGTGGCTGTTGCCTCCGAGATGCTGTTTCCAGCATCCAGATCTAATTAAATAGTTGTGTGCTTATTGCTAAGTAAACACTGGAGTCCATTACTCTTAACTTGCCTTGGAGATCAAATTGATTCTTCTAATGGTTTCACTGGATGAAAGCAAATGTACTGGGATTGCTTTGTGCAAGGTGCCTAAAGGAGATGGTGGTGGTAGGAAACGAGCTGCAAACCCGATAAAATGGGATGACAAGAACCATAAACGCTCAGCTTTTAATTTAATTCTTGCATTGCAATTAATCAAGTTAAGGAAGGGACTTAAACTGTGCGTTAATTGTCAGTAGCGTGTTTTTAATGCATTCCAGTTCAGGGCTGGGGAAAATAATTATTTCACATGAACAGGTTTATCAGAGCACGGGAATGATGGGATAATAAGGACTGCAAAAAAGTGTGTTGGGCTCAGCATGTGGTGTGTGACAGTGGCCAGGAGTAAATCATTAGGGGCAGAGTGGAGGAGCAAACACAGGCTGCTCAGTCACGTCCCCCGTGCATCTACTGCACTTTGGGGTTTATTATTTGAGGTGATTTGACCACAGTATTTGTTTGCCTCCTCTACCCAAGAAGGCTGAATAAAGGCAGTTTTTTTCAGAGCATGAAGAGGTACTTTCTAAAAGGACACTTTGTAGCTCATCCGTGATAACATTATAAACATTTACTATGTGTAATGTTTTATATTCAGAAGTACAAGTGAGCATAGTAATTGTAGTGAGAGATATTTTAGTGGAAATATAGTTAGAGCTGCTGAAGAAGATCTGAGTTTATAAACACAGTTACAGATGGCACTTGGTAAAGCATTTTGTATTTGGATGTTACCAAGAGTGTGTTATGGAAAAACTACAATTTTAGTGATACTTACCAGAGTTAAATCTGTTGGAAGGTGTTGGAAGCGTGAAGATGCCATGTCCTGTGGAGGCATAACAGTCCCAGAAATTACGAGTGGGTTTAGGAATAACTGCAGAGTTAAGGGACAAGTTGG